CGGTCGAGGTGGCGAACGGCGAGCACCGCGCGGGTCGCGAGGGCGACGAAGAGGACCGCCGCTGCCGCCGGAGCTTCGTCGGCGAGGTTGACGAGGAGAGCCACCTACTCCCCCGCGAATCCATCACCGCCGCTGCTCGCCGCTCTCTCTCTCTCTCTTTCTCTCTCATGGGTCTGTCTCGGCACCATCCTGGCCATGCCGCGCTCTGGAAGGACGCGGAAGAAGCCATCCCGGTCCCGGTGGTCGCGACGAAGCTCCTCTCTCCCTCTTCGTCATCGTCGGCCAGTGGAGACTTCATCTCTGCCAAGGGGGGAATAGGAATACGAGCTGGGGAACCGATATCCACAGGAGCCCGTCGCCCCCCAATGTATCTCTTGGCTGCGTTGCTTGGCTAAAAAGCGGTGAGAGACGCGTCCCTCAGCCGGGGGACGCGCTTCATCATGGGGAGCCGGCGTGGACGGAAAAGCGAATACCCATCAGTGAGGGGACGACCCAGGGGTATCCATTGTAGATGGCCTTATATAACTTTTACAATCAGCTTATACCCACGTGATGGTGAGATATTGGAGTAACCCAGATGAATAGATGAACATTCTATTGTCAGTATCTACTCGGCACATCAGCAACAATAGATGAGGTGAGTGGCTTGATTATCGTCATAGTAAGTTGATTGTATTACCAAATTGATGAGCAAGGATATAGAATTTATAATGGAGCATCACGGAAAACGTTGCTGGTTCATGTCCAGTTATGTTGCGGAACCATGCATGTGGATCTATTATTTTTTTTTTTTTGAAAAGAAATGTAGATCTATTATGTGATAATAGCTACTTATAGTCAGAGGCGGATCCAGAAAATTAATTTGTTGGTGTCATAACGTATCTATCAGTGTCATAATATGCTAATTATGCTTAAATCAAGGTATTATAACATAAGGATAAGTAGTTTCGCTATAGGTTTTGCTGAAAGTCGTCGGTGTCGCCCGACACCTGTCATTGTACTGTAGATCCGCCCCTGCTTATAGTATCTACAGAAGGAGGAATAACCATGATCATAGTTGTTGGTTGAGGTATTCAGCTTACAAAAATGTAATGCATGACTAGCATCAAAATAAGATGCACTTGATAGTGTAGTATCATGGGGTTTGTGGTTTCAACTCTGAGGTCCAATGTTCAATCCCAACACACTTATAATTTTTTAAGTTTCGTCACTCCCTCCAGATCTAGTTTATTTACTAGAATCAAAATAATTTACATTTTTATTATACTCCCTCTATTTTTTAATATATGGTGCCGTTAACTACTAACATGATATTTGTTTGTTCGTCTTATAAATATTGTTTATTTTATTATGACTTTGTTTTATTATTAAGGGAACTTTATCCATTACTTATATTTGTCATATTTATATTTTTCTTAATAAAACTAATCATCTAAAGAGTTGTCTATTAAAAAAAACAACGAAGGTAGTATTTTGTTTCTTACCAGTGACATTATCATACAGCTTTTCTGTGATGCTGATGCTACATACTATTCCCTCCATTTCAAATTATAAAGCATAACCACCCTTAACCTAAAGATTAAGAAACAATTATTATCATCTTATCGTTTGAATCACACCAACTAATACAATACATGCAACCAATTAATTAGAGATCTTAAGAGTGTTAGATTTAAAAAATAATAATTTAGAGAAGAGGAGATGCTAATTAATTACAAACATGTATACACGACTTGTATTATGAAACATTTTTTAAAAAATAGTTGTACCCTATATTTTGGAGGAGTAGTAACTAGTGTCAATCTAGTATCCCTTAATGTTTTTTCATTAGTGAAAAATCAACTTCCGTGAGATGGTAGAGTGCGATGGATATACTCCCTTCATCTTAAAAATATATAACACCGTTGACTTTTCACATAATGTTTGATCATTTATTTTATACTTAAAAATATATAAAATATAATTTATTTTATACTTAAAAATATATAAAATATAATTTATTTTATTGTGACTTATTTTATCATTAAATAAACTATAATCTTAATTTATATTATTATATATTTATACTAATTTTGTGAGTAAGATGAACAAAAGTTAACGATCTTATATATATTTTGATATGAACTCGTCCCGTCGAAAAAACCAACCTCATACGAAGTTTTTTGGACGGAGGGAGCATGTGATAGTACAAAAATACCTTCTGAGTATGAGGTGGTTATCTCCAACGGCGCGTACGATCGGCTTGTCACGGTTTTGGTCTACGGCATACTCTGTTCCTCTGCTCTCACGATCGGCTGCATGTAATGTAATGCATGCTCTCTCTTGGAATCCTGACCAATTCGACACCGACACACACGCATTCGATAGAGAGAGAAAACCAGAGAGATTCTCTCGATTCCGCGCGCGCCGCCTGCAGGAAATCAGCAGAAGCAAATCGCCGCTAGCTATACGTACGCTCTGTGCCCATCCCTGAAACTTTTTCAGTTGATGAGTTTACGGGTAGGATCCAGTATTTATCCGCCATATCTCTAGCTTGAGATCGACGATACGGTAGCAGCTACGTATACTCGCTACTCCTAGTAGGCTAGAACTACAACTACTAGCCCATAGCCGGGGCGGGCTGTCGGCTTGTCGGCGACGCCTGCCAAAGCTCTGAAATTTTTCACTTCTTTTCTCTGTACTCCAGCATGCTAGCCAGTTTGGCCTTGTTTAGGCCGTGTTTAGTTCACTCTCAACTAGCCTAAATTTTTAACTTTCCATCGCATCACATCACATCCAAAACTTTTCTATACACATAAAGCCCTGTTTAGTTGTAAACTTTTTCTTCAAACTTTCAACTTTTTCATCACATTAAAACTTTTCTACACACATAAACTTTCAACTTTTTCATCACATTGTTTTAATTTCGATCAAACTTCCAATTTTTGTGTGAACTAAACACACCCTTTGTATACTCCATTTTACACATGCCTTGTGTCCAGCATGTGATATTATATTGTGGGCAGCGTCAGTAGTGTGATTTAATAAACTAGATAAAACTTAAACTTTTTTCATATATATATATGGCAAATAATTTTAGAGGAGACTCCGTAGGGCACCCATTATCCTAACGTTGGTAGTGGGGCTCAAGCCCCGTTAGTCCCCATGGTAGATTCAGCATGGGCAGCGTACAGGATGGGTGGATGAGTCCGACGCCACTAGTGCTAATAGCCAGCATATAGTTAGCAAAATGGGTCGTGTTGTCCCGGCATGGCAAGGACACGTGATTTTATTGGTCATGTCAGCACAGCCCGTCCAGCGTTCGTGGGCCGACGCTGAAGCATGTGGGCTGGCATGGCACAACTCCTGTAGCGGTTTTTCTATATTTAAATTTTTCCATAACATTTTTTAGTTTTTCCGACGTATCTTTCCCTTTCTTTTATTTTTCTCTTTATTTCCATCCGATTTTTCTTTGCTCGGTCGCTTGGCCTGTTGCGCGCCCTTCAAATTTCCGCCGTCTCGCCCGTTCACCACGCTGGTTTTGAGTTGGTCACGACCAATCCCTTATATATGCTTTTAGGTGGTTCTGACCAATCCCTTAAGTACTTCGACATATTTTGTCCATTTAATCACAACATGTATATATGCAACTAAAATGAAAATAAAACCCTAGCTAATTTTTGCCCTCAATTGTTTCCTCCTCACTTATCTCTCTTCTCGAGCTCGGAGGAGAAGGAGAAGGAGGGTGATGGTGTATAAAGGGTGTGTTTTAATTAGTATCTATGAAGATATTACTCATGTTATGAAAACATGATGCGTATCCACCGGATTATTTGTGTGCGTGGGGCATGGGCATGGCATGTGTATAGGCATTGATTCCTGCCTCGCAACTCGCAAGGCTATCAGCATGAGTCAAGTGTAGAGATGGCAACAAGTGTACACCCATCAAGTTTTCTTACTCCATATCCACACATGTGATAATTAAATTTCTATTCCAACACCCACATCTGCTCTCGGTTGCAAGATTTTCCTTATATTCACACCCGTGTGGGTTTGTACGCATACTCACTGCACTAACATAGAGCACTTGTAATTCTACACAATAATCAAACGATCACGACGATGTTAGGTAACCTTAGTTTTAACATTAACATTCAAAAGCAAGTAAACAAATTATACAAGTATATGACAGGTAAAAAAACCATACTATAATTAAACCATATATTAACGTTCAAAAATAGGTAAACATCATGCGAAGTACATGGATATTCTATTTTTATACATGGGTAAGTGGGTATGGGTGCCTTTTTTTTTTCCCTAATAAACCCATTGGTATAAGAAGATGTCGGGTCTTGGATCGCTCTTGCTCTGCCGGTTTGCCCGTGCCCGAACCATTGCCAACAGTACGTTACACTGGTACTACACTAGAAATCAATACTCCTCGTTCCGAGAATAGAGATCAGATCGGAGTAACAAGGTACTGTGCCCTGTGGTACAAGAATATGAGCATGGTGGTCCAGGTCCACACACTCCAGAGGTGAAGAGGATCTGCGGCCCCCAGAGATGAAACAGCCAAAAAGGTCGCCGCAGCTACTACTGCAGGTCTGCAGCAGCCTGCAGGTAGTAGGTTACAGTACTTTCCTCCTCCTCGAGCAACAACTGCTGCTGTACTTTTCCTGACAATCCACCACCCCTCTCTTCGTCCTTGCAATCGCATTGCAGTCTCCCGAAATGCAGGCGGAGGAGGTTTCAACTTTCATGTGGAGAGAAGGGAAAGAAGAGATCACAACAGACAACAACCTCCACATCCATCTCCTCCCAACTTTGGTCTCCTGGCCTTGCCTGCAACTCTGCACGCATAGAGTAACGGAGTACTAGAGTAGTACTCCCTCCGTCAAAAAAAAGACAAACCTTGATTTCCGTGTCTAACGTTTGACCGTCCGTCTTATTTAAAAAAATTATGAAAAAAATTAAAAAGACAAGTCACGTATAAAATATTAATCATATTTTATCATCTAACAACAATGAAAATAGGAATTATAAAAAAACTTCATATGAGACAGATAGTTAAAGTTGGACACGAAAATTCAGAGTTTGTTTTTTTTGGACGGAGGGAGTAGAGGCTGAGGCAATCTGCATGCCTACCACCTGCCGCTCTGCCTCCCCTCCCCTCCCCTGCCGTGGGCACCACGCGCTGCCCGTGCCGCTGCATCCTGCAGCTACCTTCTGTGGCAGCCGCGATCAGCTACACGTAGAGTAGTCATCATGCAGTAGCTCGCCTGCAATCGCCTCCCCCTACTCTCCTCAGCCTTTACCTTCCTTCAACTTCGCCGTCCTTGCCGACAGCTTGCCGGCGCCGGCCTGGCCTTTAAACCACCACGAGAAACAAACAAAGAACGTGTCCATTTTGCCATGAGAATGATTCTTGGTCGCCTCCTCGTTGTGGCCGTTCTCGCCGCGGCGGCGGCGGCGGCGGAGAGCGAGCCGCGTCTGCCGGCGGCGGAGCAGGAGGGCGTGTACGCGGTGCTCGAGGCAGTCAACCCGGGCTTCCCCTGGCGCGCCAGCTTCCCCGACGACCTCTGCCTCGCCGGCCCGCACGGCGTGTCGTGCGACGACGACGACGGCGGGAACGCGTCCCACGTCGTCGGCATCTCGCTCGGCTACGTCTCCGACTTCTCCGCCAATCCGAGCTGCGCGGCGCCCTCCGCCGCCACGCTCCTCACCTCCGGCCTCCTCGCCGCCTCCTTCCCGCGCCTCCGCAGCCTCTTCGTCTACGGCTGCTTCGTCGGCGACGACGACGCGCGGCCTCTCCCGCCGCTCCCGTGGCGGCTCCCTCCCACGCTCCAGGACCTCGTGCTCGTCAACAACCCCGCGCTCACCGGCCGCCTCGCCATCTCCGCCGCCAGCCTCCCGCTCCTCCGCCGCCTCGTCGTAGCCTCCTCCGGCCTGTCCGGCGACCTCCCGTCCACGCCCTTCCCGCGCCTCGAGCAGCTCGTCCTCTCCGGCAGCCGCTTCGCCGGCCGCATCCCGAGCGCGCTCGTCCAGGGACTCGCCAACGTCAAGATCCTCGACCTGAGCTCCAACCTCCTCGCCGGCGGCATCCCCCGCGCAATCGGCGGCCTCACGCAGCTCGTCAAGCTCGACCTCTCCTCCAACACGCTGGCCGGCCCGATCCCGGGAGAGCTCGGCGGGCTCGCGTCGCTCGAGCTGCTCGACCTCTCCAACAACCGGCTCACCGGCGGCGTGCCGGCCGCGCTCCGCGGCATGACGGCGATCAGGGAGATGTACCTCAGCGGCAACCGTCGCCTCGGCGGGCGCGTGCCGGCCGACATGTTCGCCGGCCTGAAGGGCATCTCCGCCGTGGGCCTCTCCGACGCCGGCCTCACGGGCACGATCCCGGCGTCGCTGGGGGAGTCGCTGCGCAACGTCACCTACCTGGGGCTGGACGGCAACCTGCTGGAGGGCGAGGTGCCGCCGGCGCTGGCGAAGATGGCGGGCAGGGTCCGGCTTCACGGCAACCGCGCCGTGTGCATCTCGCCGGAGTTCCTCGCCGGAGCGCCTCGCCCTCGCATCGCAGGTGTTCCGTCGTGCAACGCCACCCAGGCTGCTCCCGTGACGCGGCGCCCTGTGGTTATGCCGGTTCCCTTGGCATCAGCGGAGAAGCCGGCGGCGGCGGCGCCGCCGCCGCCGATGAGGATCGGTTCCTGTGTCGTAGTGGCAATGCTCTTGCTTATGCTCAGTTAGTTGCTCCTGAATGATTAGTCAGGCTGTTTAGTTTAGCATTAGCAGGTAGATTTTGTTGAGTTAAAAAAATGTAAAGTAGTTATGGTATTGGTTGTGCTACTAACAAGAAACAAGTGACGAGAAAACTTATACTGTGCGTGAGACTAAATATTGGGGCGAGGGGATTAGTTATCGTTTATGTGCATATGGTTAAGATTAGATTGGCTTTATTTTAAACCATAACATTTTTAAGGTAAAACTGTTAAACATGTAGATGTATTCAGTTTATTATCAAACATTTTTAATGCCTAGAGAATTTTAACAATAACATATTTAACCTATGCTATTAAAACTTGACAATGTCACTAACATACTAAAATTTTTGCCATTGCTAAATTTAGGAAATATCATATTTATGTATGATAGTAATTTGAATAGGCCCTATAATTCCGTACAACAAACGACCCACTCGTCAACATTTTTACCGTTGCTTTTTGCTTTTTAAGTTGAGACTATTATTTTTGGGGAAAAAGTACACCGAAGGTCCCTCAACTTGTCATCGGGATAAAAAACATCTTCGAACCACAAAATCAGATATACGGGGTCCCTTAATTATACAAAATCGGTCACCGGAGCTCCTTCGGTGGTTTTGAACCCGGTTTTATCCGACGTGGCGGCTGAGTCGGCGCGGGACCCACGTGGGCCCCACGTGTCAGCTGGCCACGTCATCAAACTCCTCTCTCTTTTCCCCTCTTCTCTCTCTTCCTCATCTCTCTCTCCCTTCTGGCTGTGCTGCGACGCCGCCGCAGGTCGGGGAGCACGAGCGTCCGGTGCGCCCACCCGAGATGTGCTGCGACGCCGCCGCCGCCGACAGCATGGAATGGAACGCTGTGTATGCGGCCTGCACGAAGTCGCTGTAGCGGAGGACCTCGCGGCGGAGGTTCTGGTCGAGCGGGTCGAGTAGCCCGTCCCAGCCGCCACTCGTCGGCGATGGAGCCCGAGCGTGAGGAGGCACTGCAGGTGTGCGAGGCTGCGCGGGGACATCTCGTCGACAGCCGGCTTGCGGACGAACGGCGGTGGTCGGCGGCGGTGTCCTCGCCGTCTTCTTCCCCTCCTGACAAGAGAAGGATTTGGCTCCGCGGACACCGAAAGGTTGTTTCTTGCTCCCTCTTTAATCCTTCATCTAATGTGCCACAAAAAATTATGGCAATTTGGGCGGTTTTGCTCCCAATTTAGATTTGCCTTTGCCTTTGGCTTCAGCAACTGATTTGTTGGTGCTCTGCATTGTGCAGCAGATCATCGGCGACTACCTCATTGAGGCACGGGCTGCTTTCGCTGCCGCCGCGCCGCTCAATGGGGAATGTGGCGACCACTCAGCGGCCACGACGGCGCTTGGACTAGTGGAAGCAGTGCTAGAGTTGTCGCCGCGCATGGAGGCCGCTCTCGAGCTCCGGGCGTGCTCTCTCCTCGCGTTCCGCCGCTACCGCGGCGTCGCTGACATGCTCCGCGACTACATCCCCAGCTGCACCAAGCCTACATGCTTCCTCTGCTGCTTCGACATATCCAACCTCAAGCACCGCGTCCTCGCCGACGGGGAGGCGGCGGCGCACCGCAGGCGGTGGGCGCAAGCTGCGGGGGGAGGAGCTATGCGTGGACGGCGACCGCCGGGGAGCCCGTATGCCGCTCCCCCCACCGCCGCCGCCATCACCGCCGATGCCCGCCGCCGAGGCACTGCCGGCGGCAGAGAAGGGAGAGAGATGAGGAAGAGAGAGAAGAGGGGGAAAAGAGAGAGGAGTTTGATGACGTGGCCAGCTGACATGTGGGGCCCACGCGGGTCCCACACTGATTTAGCCGCTACGTCAGATAAAACTGGGTTTAAGACCGCCGAATGACCTCTGGTGACCGGTTTTATATAATTAAGGGACTCCGTATATCTGGTTTTGTGGTTTGAGGACGTTTTTTATCCCCATGACAAGTTGAGGGACCTTGGGTGTACTTTTTCCTATTTTTGGCAGAGTGACCACGTCTCTTCTAAAACGGAAGAGCGTTTGGCCCAACAACCTAAATGGGCTAAATCGTACTTTGAAAGCTACAGTCCTGACTACCTCAACTATGGGTCAGATTTAGGCTCTGTTCTTTTGGTTGAGTTGGGAACCCATCCCTCCGGTACGGAAAACGAAGCAGTCCATTAGCACGTGATTAATTAATTATTTGCTAATTTTTTTAAAAAAATGGATCAATATAATTTTTTAAGCAACTTTCGTATATAAACTTTTTGCAAAAAACACACCGTTTAGCAGTTTGAAAAGCGTACGCGCGGAAAATGAGATGGGGGAGTTGGGAACTCCAGGAAACGAACAGAGCCTTACTTCATATCCCTCAACAATAAAATAAAATAGGGTATATCGACTTCTTCGACTATTAAATTAGAGAATAACTTCAAAAGCAATTATTGAGATGGTATCGGAGACGTGACATGTGACTACGGTAAGAAAATATCGAGTCAGCAAGAAAGCTACGCTGTGTTTAGATCAAGAGGTGTAAAAGTTTTGACGTGTCACATCGGATATACGGACACAGATTTGAAGTATTAAACGTAGTCTAATAATAAAATAAATTACAGAATCTGTCTGTAAACCGCGAGACGAATTTATTAAGCCTAATTAATCCGTCATTAGCAAATGTTTACTGTCACCACATTGTCAAATCATGGCGCAATTAGACTTAAAAGATTCATCTCACAATTTACACGCATTCCATGTAATTAGTTATTTTTTCGTCTATATTTAATACTCCATGCATTTATCTAAACATTCGATGTGACAGGGTGTAAAATTTTGCCAGAGGGATCTAAATATGGCCTTAGTATTATTCCGTGGAGCTCACATGTCATCCTCACTCTCACTTCTTTATTCCTGCTCCCTCTCTCCAACCTCTTCCTCCCTTCGACAGATGCCGCTGGTGTTCGTGGATACATTACCGCGTGAGGCCCTTAGAACATGTACAATCAAGGGCACTGGGCACTCCTAAAGTACCCTCACTAACCGAGGGCACTTTCAGGGGCACTCATCTTATAGCCAAAGGCACACATAGATGGACTCTTCAAAATTTGAAGCAACTGGCTGAAAGTAGTCAGTCCAGAGTGGGTGTCCTAGCCCAAAGAAGCCCCACATGAAAAATCCCAAAATACCCCCAGATCCAGTCTGGCTTCTTCTTCTTCGCCCCTCCCGCACCTCCGTCTGGACCGCACCTTCCAAATCCACGGCTAAAATCTCCATCCCTCGATTCAGAGAGAACACACGAACACACGAGCTGCTCGAGGGAGAGAGAGAGAGAGGAAGGGGATGAGGGTGGCATGCTGCTTGGCGAGAGAGACGTCGGCGACGCTAAGGATGGCGAGGATGCCACACATGGTGCCCTCCCCGGCGGCGAGGTCTCTGCGGCGGCTGCGGCTACCACCTCTCCCTGTGTGGCTAGACCAAGCGGCGCAGCCTCGTTACACCAAGAGGCCGCCTCCTACCACTGCTCCTCCACGTCGTCATCGTCCTCCCGCCGCTGCTACTGGAGCTGTGCCCGGGAGGCCTCCTCCTCCATCTCCGTCGATGGCGGGGCCAAGGCCAGGGGCGTGCTCACGTTGGCCCTGGGGCGGTGGCGGCGGCGTTCCCCTTCACCACCTTTCTCTCTCCCAGATCTAGTACGCCACCGCCCCCCAGCGCCACCTCTACCGCTGGCTGTAGCACCGCTGCCCTCCACGCGATGCTTCCCCTCCTTCCTCACACGCGGTGGAGCAGCCGATGACGACGCGACTCGCGCCGTCCCATCTGCCCGTGCCACCACCCCATCTACATGCGCCGCAGCACGCGTTGCTCTCCTTCCTCCGTGCGAGAAGGCAACGAGAGAGGGGCAAGAAGGGAAATCACGGATAGGGGAGAGGAAAGGGAACGCGGGGACCTCTCCTGACGCAGCGAAAAGTAGCCAAGAGCGCTAGATGTTAGTAAATTCAATAAAGTAAATTAATTTTAGATTTTATTAAATTACTTTTTAGACATATAAAAGTAAATTCAATAAAGACTAAAACTAATTTGCATATATTATAGAAGTAACTTAAAAAAATGAAAATAACTTGTCACGACATTAAAAGTAAATCCGTTGTGGGGGGTGTTAAAAACATGAGTCTATCTACAAATTGAATTTAATCAACACAAATTATGGAATTGAATAAAACCGATAATAAAATAAATAACTCATAACATTATGAATGTATAAGAAGTAATTTAATCTAATCTAGAAGTAAATTATATATATAATAAAAGTAATGTACAACATAGATATTTTTTATCGAGTATAATCATGTAAGATCTAATTGCAATGAAAACAATGGTATAATTGAATTATAGATCGGATAAGTAATTTAAGAGAAAACTCTATAAAAAGAAAAAAAAGACATGCACTATTAATTGTACTAGTAGCAACAAGAGTGAGGTCGCTCGATATGACTAACCAGCGATTGTCTCGTCATTGTCACGTCCTATAATAAGATACGATGCTTTCTAATATAATAATTAATCTGAGATGTGATACTTTCGAGTAGAATAAATCTGGACAGAGGAAAGACCATGTCCAAATTTATTATACTAGGAAATTAACATCACATCCTATCATAGATTGGTTTTTATGAAACGTAGGAAGAATGGTGTGATAAACTGTGACAGCACAAAAGGCCCTTAAATACGTTGATTGCTGAAACCAAATACACTACTGCATCCTGATTGTCCATAAATCACTTTGCATAGGGGATATTGTAAACATTTGGGACCAACCATGCATTGCAATCATGTCATGCTTCTCCCGTTGGATGACAACAAGAAGGTCATGAGAAAAAAAAAATTGAAAGGACAACAATATATGAATGATTTGGAGGCCAAATTATTGCATGCATTCATTTTCTAGTTAGTGGACCTAACATAAACTCGACATCACGATTGTTGAGCAATACTATCAGATCAACAACATACCCTCGACATCCCAATCGTTTAGTAATGCTATCAAATCAATTAGTAGTGGCCAACCTCCTAGCGGAAATGTTACACCTAGCGATAGATTGAGGGTGATTTGATATGACATATTGGAGCATGCCAACTGGAAATGTTACACCTAGCGATAAAATGAGGGTGATTTGATATGAGATATTGGAGAATGCCAACTGATCGTATAGTTAAAACATGGGCGGGTTCAATTTATCCACTGTTACAAGGGTTTACCATTCTGACGAAATCCGATCAGATTTCGTGAAATTTTGACGTTTCGACGAGGCTCGAAAGTAGAAACCATCTGAGATTTCGAGAAGTTTCATCCAAATTCAAATTTGAATTGATAAAAAAAGAAAAAAATCAAATAAAATCTTATAAATACTATGATATTTATAGAACTTATTGGGATATAAATTTTCGAAAAACATTATGTATTGTGTGTATTTACTGAAACTTACATCAGGAAAGAAAAAAATAAAGAATTAAAAAAAGGAAAACAAATTACTGATCAAAATTTCGATGATTTCAATTGGAATTTCGCCAAAACCGACCGGTTTTCGAGAACTTGTCGACAAACTTAGGGAATTTGTATTCAAATTTTGGTTTATGAAATTTGTTCAGAGTTTACCGGTTTTCCACCGGATTTCGCGAAATTCCGAATTCCACTAGTGCCCGAAACGGAAGGGCTTGTCGGAATCATAAACCCTGGAGCAAGGCCTATCCAGTAAAAACAAATTTTCTCAAACGGCTGAAATCCCCACCTGCAAACGAAAATCTTTATGAGAGGACCTATAAAACCAACGGAAATCTATTCTTTAGACGTGGTCGTGATCTAATAACGGTGAAAATTGGCAATCTTCATAAGAGAACCTATAAAGCGAACGAAAATCTATTCTTTACACATCGTCAGTTAAGCCGACCGCTTGCGAAGATAGAATTTTCACAAGTGATGAGATTAAGTCGACCACTAGTGCTATAGACTTTCAGCCAAAAAATAAAAAAAAAATCCAACCTAACCTCTTAAAAACCCTAGCTCCTTGCCCATTTTCACGTATCGTACATACCAAATTGGATCTGGAAGGGGAAAAAGAACAAAATGAAAAAAAAAATAGACGGCGGAGGAGAGCCCGGTTCAGTACACTCGCGCACCACCACCGCTGCTTGTGCCTTTCCGCAGGATCCGCCCTCTACATGAATTTTCATCTTTTGAATTATTTTTATTATTAGCCGCTTTTGAGCTACAAACTAGTATGTAATAGGTGGCTATAGTTGATTTGTGTTGAAGAAAAAGCTGAAATCTCTATCATCTAAAAACATTACTTCAATTTATTTTGATATGAACGGTGTATTGATGCGAAAAACTCCTGTGCAGGTCCAAAATCTTGCCTTTAGGTTCGTGAGCGTACCAGTTGATTTGATTCTGCAATCAACAAGAAAAAAGACAAGAAAACCTCGGTTAAATCCATAAACGATAGCCGATCGGCTAGTTACCGATGACATATCATTTATTTTCGAGCCGATGTCATATTGGAATCGATCGGCAGTCATGAATAAACAAGATAAAACTAAATCTACTCGATCGGCTGTAGATATTAACAACATATAGTCCTTTCTTCGATGTATATTTAAACTAAGTGATTGGGATAGATCGGTCGTCATACCGAGACAATATAAATCACTTAAGCCGACATATACATTAAACCAATGATTATATAGATATTTATAGCATAGCTGATCAGATAGATCTAGCATGTATCGGCTAATACTCCGATACCACTTTATACTAAGATATCAAAACAAACAAAATATATCAAGCAGATAGCTTAAAATACTTTAATGCAATAAGATCTTAATATAAAGGACAGATTTAGCATAACAATCAAGCATATAAGGTATAAAATAGCTAAATCAGGTAAGATCA